AAAAAAAAAAAAAAAAAAAAAAAAAAAAAAAAAAAAAAAAAAAAAAAAAAAAAAAAAAAAAAAAAAAATCGTAACCAAACTCGAGTTAAAAATCAAAAACCAAACAAAAAAAAAAATTATTTTTTTCTTTTTTTTTTGAATACGTTCGGCCGAACACGTCTGGGTGGCGTTCGGTCGAACACCCGAACATGTTCGGACGTTCGGAAAAGCTTCGAACATGTTCATGTGCTACACAGCTACTGACCACCCCACAAAAATAAATAGCGCCAAATAGCGCCATGGCTCCCGGCCGATAAAAAACACATTCATGGCAGTGGGATCATCCATCAATCGCGCCGAGCCTCCATGCCGGCATTTAAAATTAAAGAAAACGAACACGGCGACCTTTGGTATCTGCATATCGGTACTGAGTCCGGATAGACCTTCGGGCAGACAACCACCGATCGTCAGTCAGGGCGTTGGCAGCCCGATGTAATCGAAATTTCATTTGCCGGTGCCGGACTAGAGGGAGTGTTACACACACACAAAAAAAAAAAAAAAAAAAAAAAAAAAAAAAAAAAAAAAAAAAAAAAACAGGCGCCAGGAATACTGCAGGGTTTCATGCATAGAGGGCTTCTGACCTGTCCGAAGTGCAATCGCCACATCCCCCCAAATGTTTAATGGCCCAAACGACCTAGCTGGGCAGCTGTGCCTATAATAATTCTTCTGGGACTCTCGATATAGGAGGTCGCTGCGTTTTCCCTTGAGGCAAAGGCCACCGCGTGAGTACACCGCTCGCACGAAGGAGAGCAAGTAAAGACCTGTTGCTTTTCCTACCACCGACGTCCTACCGTCTTCCCCCCCCCCAAATTGACCGAACGGTATTTATCACTCTACCAAGACCGAAACCCATAACTACCTTATTAAGAGATAGTCAGGGCGAGGACGATAGGACCCTCGTAGCCTTGTTGCGCCCCAGACCTGACACATCCTGACAGTCATTTGCACGAATGATAGCCAAGGTATCCCCTCTCCCCCTCCTCCCCGCCCGCAACCGAACACAACGTACCCTGCCAGTGATTGTATGCAAGTTATCTTTCCAAGGTATCCCCCCCCTCCTCCCCCCCCCTCCCCGTCCGCAACCGAACACAACGTACACTGTCGGTGATTGTATGCAAGTTATCTTTCCAGTCCTGTACAGTCGTAATGAGGGTGTCTTGTGTTTGGCGGGAGACTGTAGTAAAGAGGAACACTTGCATGCAATCAACCTTGTATCAATGTACCCTTTTAACACCCCACCTGTGGGATCGCTATACCCTCTCACCTTGGCCCAGGTGCACTATGACAGGCATTTGTGTAGTTCTGCAATTCAAAAAGAACAATGAAAAACATGAAAACACAGATTCGAATTACGAGAGGACTGCACATGGATGAACCCAATAACAGCACCAGCACAGAGATAACCACTCATTAGCTCGCCATGTGCTGGAGCCATAGGAGTTCGTTCAATTTTACCACAGAGAAACACCGCAACCAGGTAGGTCATCCTGTCGCCGCAGTATGGGAGTTGTGCAAGGCAATCACCTCCTCCTCCTCAATATCATGCATGTAACCCCAAGCACATTTGCCTCCATCGTTCTCACTAGTCAATTCTCTCTCATGAATAACCAACTGGCAAACGCCCCCGCCCATGCCTCCGTTTTTTTTTTACCTACCCTTCCCCCCCACTGTCCTCCTCCCTCCCCTTGTAGGTTTTCCCTTTGCCCTCCTCTTCTCTCTGTCATATCGCCGACAACCAACGCATTCGCACGTCTTTCTTCTTTTCTTCTCCGTCACTTCCAATGATCATCGCTGCTTCACATTCTACTTTCGTTTGCCACACTGCACCCACCAACCCCGGCTTGTACCCCTCGAGAAGGAGAGGTTCTTGTTCTTCTCCTTCCTCCCCTGCAACATTCGTACAAGCTAGGTGCATGCACTTTGGTACGGTTGTCTGTGTTCGGGTACTCGTGTGAAGATACAGTATCATACACACACACACACATCCATCCATCTGAAGCACACAAGGTACATTACGCACACACCAGAAGAATCCGACCAGGTACATGATGTGCACGTCCATCTGTGCACGTGAAGCACATCGAAAAAAATGCGGCAATGTATGTGTACTATACACACCTGTTTCAGACCATCCGTTACGAACTCTTTTTTTAATGAAAAAAAAATTATAGAAGTTTGGACCATTTCTCGATTTATGTGTGTCATCCTTGAGTGCGCAGGGGCCATTTTGGTAATTACCCTTCTCTGTATCGTTCCAATTTTAACGGATGTCCCGAAGGACATCCGTTACAAACTTCAAAGTTGGCTTATTTATAAAACTCGACAGCAGACGGCAGAAGCATTCTTCAGTTGCCCTGAATTGCAACCCYCCCCAWGAAAAAAAAAAAAAAAAAAAAAGACTCTCAACTCGAGACGGCAAAAAGGACAATCAACAATAAACTCGCCGTGGACTCGCGTACGTTCCACTTCACTCCCCCTAACAGAATCAGATGAAATTAAAGCTGATCAAAATATGCTATATTAGGTAAGTGAGGAATCATAAAACGATCAATGATACAGGAAAATCAAAATAAGGTTAAATGCGACACAAGCTAAAAAAAAAAAAAAAAAACACATTGCCAAGTCCTCTTCACCATTTTTGAAATACGATGACAGTCCTCATCAAACGTCACAGCGACGTAAATCCCAGACCCATATGCTCATACGTTGTTATTACCACACACACCCTCCCTCCCTCCTTCCCTCCCTCCCTCCCTCCACCTCTCACTTGATGCTCATCCTAGTTATGTTCCATGGGCACGGGCAAGAGAGGCATGGAAAAGGGGGGGGGGGGGGAGGAGGGCCAGGTACAGGCCCTCATCCTAGTTATGCTCCACAGGCAAGAGGCATGGGGGATGCAGGTACAGAAAGGAAACGGCGGACGTGATGCCCCTCCTGGTTCTCGTCCTAGTTACGTTCCACCAGCAAGAAGAGGCATTGGGGGGTGCAGCGGTTACAGAAAGAAAAGGTCCCTCCACCTCCACCTGACTTGACGCCCACCCATCCTGATTATGTTCTGCCAGCAAGAGGCATTGGTGGGGGGCGGCTACAGAAAGAGGAGGTAGGTTCCTCCACCTAACTTGACACCCACCCATCCTGGTTACGTTCCACAGGCAGCTGCTGGCATGGGTGCGCAGCTGCCGAAAGGAATCACATAACAACTCAACTGCCAAGAAAGGCGTCAGCTATGCAGTCGACCTTTCAAAGCGAGAGCGGGCACCGGAAAACAGCTGCAAGGGAACGCCTCTACCGCGCAGTTGACGTCTCCTCTCTGGAATTGCTTCTTTTTTTCACAAACTTGCAAATCTTACAAAGGCAACGTGCAAGCCAGAAGGAACAAATCTGGCAATACCGGGACGCGGAGAAACGCGCGCATTTTATTTCATTTTGTCCCCGGATAGTGCACAGTGTTCAAAACGGAAGAAGCCACACCCTCGAAGGAAGTTTTGTCCCCGGATAGTGCACAGTGTTCAAAACGGANTGTTCAAAACGGAAGAAGCCACACCCTCGAAGGAAGTTTTGTCCCCGGATAGTGCACAGTGTTCAAAACGGAAGAAGCCACACCCTCGAAGGAAGGGCTACCCCCCATCATGACTGCCCAAAGCAAGCAAATCCCCTCCCTCCATTCAGATCCAATTCACCGGCACACCTCACTCCTGCTGAGATTAGGATGCTGGTACAACAGCTCATGCAACGAACGTGAGGGATGGGATGGCGATTTCAGACTCTGGCACCAGATAGGACCTTGCCGGCGTTGCCGCCTCTTTCAGTGTCGCTCCCGGCACTTGCACATGGCAAAGGTGGGTGCATGATATGGCCCAGCACAGCACAAAAAAGGCAAGGTGGTGGTTGACAGCAAGAGGGGGCAAGCGGCGAGCGCAGCGCAGGCTCTATTCGGGGTTGGCAGGAAGGAAGGACACCTGCGGCCGGGGAAGAAGACTGATATACATATACAGCATTCGGTGCGACGATCTTTGCGACCGGTGACTCCGGGATCCCAAGCATGCGTCAAAAGTTGACGAAGTCCATATGTCCCTTATGGAATGCAGCGGTATAATTCCAATAAATAAGGCGAGATTAGGCCCAGAGAGCAATCATCCCATACAAGTCACTCACTCCTTCATGAACTGTCCAACCATGCTGTCAGCGGAGCAGGCCACGGCAGAAAGACAGCTTAAGCAAGATGCTAGATCGTCACAGGATGCGCACAATGTAAATAGGCTTTCCATCAAATACAGGGAGAGATCCCTACTCGCTTGCTTCCTTGCTTGCTTGCTTGCAAGAGCTTGCTTGCTTGCTTGCTTGCCCGAGAACAGGCAGCACGCTGCGCCACCTCTCAGCATCCTCACCAGAATAATAAACAAACTCCTCGCTACTAGGAACAGCACCGCTCGGGTCAATCGCATTGCTCACTGTAACAATGTCAGGTCCTCTCTCCAGACATGTGAGTCGTTTCTCTCGAGGGATCGGGATCGGGATCTGACGGTCGCACAACTCGATCCTCGCAGTGTGCAAGCTGTGCAAGCAAATACACTGAAACAGTGTTTGATTGACAAACTTTCCTCGGTTCTGCCCTAGAGTTCTCTTCCAGAAATCCAATCATCTGGAAGCTCGGAGTATCGCAACCCACAGAGACGGATATCTCCAGGAGCAGCATTGCCCTGCTGCAGATGGAAAGTAATCTTCATTCAAAGCAGGTTCCATTCCTCCAGCTATGCCACAAAATGCATTGTATATATGGGGGGATGTACTCAGCGGTTGCAGACGCGAACGACAGGCTGAATCAATCAATCGACTTGGTTGAAATCCAA